GTTGGTGTAAGCATGCAAGTGTTCAGATGAGAGACCGGGACGGGAAGCAGTGTTGGTAGTGGAACCAGGCTGCCTGGCTTGACTCCTGGGTCTGCTGCCTACTGGGAATGTTTCTTGGGCAAGTTACTTCACCTTACTATGCCTCAGTTTGCTCATCTTAAGGAGGGGGAAATAGTACCTGTGGAACTATTATGGAAGAGTTATCTCAACTCATAGGATGATTATGAAGATTAAGTTAGTTTAAAAGCACATAAAATATGGTTGGCACAAGTAGTGCTTAAATTTGCTATTTCTAAATTTATTACTATCATCACTATTGTTGTAAGAACCAACTACTGGAATCTTTCATTACCATACTTTAGGTGAAAATATAACCCACAATATTTGGTGTTAACCTTTGATAATGTTAAAATACCATTTCAAATAATAGCAGTAATGAAAAATGTGTTCATGGTGAAATAATAAAACATAAATATTTTGACATGAAAGAAATTTAAAACTCAGAAAAGGGATTTCTCTATAACTAAACCAATGAAATAAAATTGAAGACAGGCATAAAAACAGCAAAGAAAAAAGTCATGGTTTGCGGATACCTCTGGAACAGGTTGGCTGAACAGTAAAGAATTGACTTTGGACCTTAGAGTGTATAGAACTGAGACCCGTGCTCAGTCAGCACTGGCCCAGGGTCCTACAAATGCAGTGATGAGTGAGACATGGTCTTCAAGAAGGTGACAGTCTCGCAAGGAGTATCAACAATAAAGAATTACAATATGCAAAATGCTATGAAAGAAGTAAATTGGGGCAGCATGAGGACACTTAGCCCAGTGTTTTGATTGAGAGATGTCAAGAGGTTCGAGGAAGAAGTAGCATCTAGGATGAAACTGAAGGATGAGTGGGTGGGAGGAGTGGCAGGGTCTCTGGTCAAAGCTGAAGCAAAATGGTGCATGGAGGCGAGAGTGCTAATGTCATTTAAGTAACTTAATGGGCTTGACATGGAATGGAATATGGCTTGAGAATAGTGTGCAAGAGTGAGCAGCGTCCTGATAGTGACAGGTTTTAAGAGTCTGTTAGCTGTGTTATGGAGGCTTAGACATTATCTTGAGGGCAATGGGGAGCCATTGACAGGCATGTGACTTGGAAGAGGGTTGGTCACTGTATCACATCAATATTATTCTAGTTGCAGTGTGAGGAATTGCTGAAGTAGAAATGACATTATTCTAAGGAGAAAAAATCCCTCCCTCCAAAAAAAAATCCAGAAGTAAAAAATTTATCTAAAAGCCTAGCAATATAGTAGCTTTACTATAGGGATATATTGGATAAACAGCTCAAACAGCTACCTCAGGGAGCTTTTGAGGGAATGCACGCTCCATAGATCAGCAAAGGAAGATTAAATTATGTAAAATAATGTCCAAGAAAGCAAAACTTTTCATGTAAGGCTGTTCAAAGTAGTTCATTTGTGATATTTAAATGGCATCTATTCATTTATAAAACGCTCATTTCACTATTATGAAATGATGTCTTCTATTTTGAAGTTCTGCAGTCCATATTTATTTTGATCCATGAAATCCACGATGCTCATTTCATCATTGCCTCTTACCGTAGCATTTCATGAGCACCCACTGGGTACGGGGTGTAGTAGAAAAAGAACGCGTGTGGTCCCTGACCTCTAGGAACTTGCCTTGTGAGAGGAGACTGAGCCCGAAGTGACAAGTGGTCATGAGTTTGTGTTTCCAACTATGAAAGAGTAATCCCAGCAGAGTGTTACATGCTATAGAAGACTTAGAGGAGAGGTGAGTTTTGGAATGAATTTAGAAAAAGTGGAGAAGGATGCATACCTCTATATTTTCCAACTAAAACCATTGATATTGTGTCTTAAATTTACTGTTGAATGAAAAGTCACCTTATTCCCCAACAAACCAAAAGCTGATAGAATGTTATTTAAAATAAAGCGAGAGACATCATCCATAAGTGTCACCATTTGGGTAAAAGCATGGGCCAGTCATGTAACGTCTTGATGAGAACCTTTCCATTTATTCTGTACTACCTACCGGCCGCCAGGCTGGTGAAAGAGGTAAAATGCTCTATTTTTGTGTTCTTATCCTCTTCTTTCTAGATGCCTGTGGTAATCCACCAAGATTCAATTCTATGAAACCAAAGGGTGTCGCTCAATCCTCTTATAGTCCTGGGGACACAATAGAATATGAGTGCAATTCAGGATACGTGCTCAAGAGACCTCCTCCTCCTACCTTTACTGTCTGTCAGTCTGATAACACATGGAAACCTCTCCGGGAGGCTTGTACAAGTAAGCAAACAAAACTTATTTTGTATTTTTTTTATCGCTTTAGAGATAGTCACACATTTTAGGGTGCATATTCCCCTACTGCAATGATGGTTTTCTCATGTGAATTTAGGTTTTAGAGAGCAATGTATATTTTCAGGCTTTGAAAAATCTCCAGAGAATCTTTTTCTTGGCAGTTGGTTACCTAGGTAGATCTGAATCTTAAGTTTGGCCTTAGAATAGTTAAAGAAAATAAATAATAGTCCCATGAATTCAAAAGAAGAGTTTTGATTTGGATTCAAATCTGTTTTAAAATTCACATAAAAGAATGAATTTGAAAATTACCTTTTAGGAAAATCATGTCCACAGCCAGCAGAACCCATAAATGGCAAAGTAGAACATGTAAATGGAACTTTGGAGTTTGGTTCACAGATTCACTATGCTTGTAATGAGGGGTAAGTAAGTTGCTCCTTAGAGGAAATAAGGTAAATGTTATAAATTCCATTTTTGTTTCGCTTCTCTTCTTAAGCATTCCCATAAAGTTGATTTCATTTTGCTTACTATGTGACAGGTTCTACTTGTAGCCAGACAACTCTTGGGCATTTTATGGAGACTGAAAAGATGTGTAATTAATAGAAAGAAATTTAAATTGAAGGAAAGCAAAATTGTATAATACTGTATGTAATAATAAGCCTGTCACAAGCATTAAAAATGTAGTAACCATGGTGACTTTATCCTTGACATCAAAGTGCACCCTATTTAAAATGGCCAACTGTCAGAGTTGAAGTGGGGTTTATGGAAATGGCAAGTAGCATTGCCATCCAAAGATATTCTTATATCACGATAGCTGTGGAAGGTGTCAGCAGACCAAAATAGACCTGGTTAGCCTGGACCATAATGTTCATCAAGATTTCTAAGTTGGCTAACCTTATCTTTGAGACTGCTGCAAAGGAGTAGAGCATCTCAAAAAGAGGTACTGAGCACCTAATTATAACCTTTGTTCTATGGGGCTCTTTTAATACTTATTTATAACCTTTGTTCTATGAGGCTCTTTTAATAGTATGTATTGGGAATACTGGGCATTTATGAAAAATGTGCATTTAGAGGGTAAATGTAATACACTATAGAAATGCAACTGATTTTTTTTTATCAACTTTGTATCCTGCTACTTTGCTGAATTGATTGATTAGTTCTGATTTTTTTGTGTTTGTGTGTGCCTGTAATCTTTAGAGTTTTCACCATATGAGAGCATATCATCTGCAAACAATGATCATTTTATTGCTTCCTTTCCAATTTGGTTGCCTTTTATTTTTTTTCTTTGCGAATTGCTCTGTCTAGAAGTTCCAGAACCATGTTGAATAGAAATGGTAAAAGCAGGCATCCTTGCCTTGTTCCTGATCTTAGAGGAGAAGCTTTCAGCTTTTCACCGTTGAATATGATGTTTGCTGTGGATTTTTCATGTATGGCATTTATTATCTTGAGGTGGTTTACTTCTGTTTCTCATTTGTTGAGTATTTTTATCATGAAAACATATTGAATTTTGTCACATGCTTTTTTTGCAGCAATTGGGATGATCATATGTTTTTTCCCCTCAATTCTGTTGATGTGGCATATTTCGTTGACTGATTCATATGTTGAACCATCTTTGCATTCCAGGAATAACTCCAATTTGGTCATGGTGTATAATCCTTTTAATGTGCTGCAAAGTTGTTTGTTAGGATTTTGTTGAGGATTTTTACATGAGTGTTCATTAGGGATATTGGTCTGTAGCTTTCTTTTCTTGTAGTGTCTTTGTCTGGCTTTGGTATCACGGTAATGCTGGTCTCATAGCATGAGTTTGGAAGAGTTTCCTCCTCTTCAAATTTTTGGAAAAATTCAATAAGGATTTGTATTAGTTTTTCTGGAAATGTTTGGTAGAATTCACCAGTGTAACCATGAGGTCCGGGGCTTTTCTTTTTTTGGAGCTTTTTGATTACATTACATTCAGTCTCCTTACTCGTTATGGGTCTATTCAGATTATCTATTTTTTCGTGATTTAGTCTTGGTAGGTTTTGTGTTTTTAGGAATTTGTCGGCATAAAATTTTTCATAGTGCTCTCTTATAATATTTTTTTATGTCTGTAGAATCAGTAGTAATGTCCCTGCTTAATTTCTGATTTCAGTAATTTGAATTTTCTCTTTTTTCTTAGTCCATCTAGGTACAAGCTTGTCAATGTTTTTGATGTTTTTGATGAACCAACTTTTGGTTTCATTGATTTCCTCTGTTGCTTTTTTCTTCTCCATTTTGTTTATATCAGCTATAGTCTTTATTATATACTTCCTTTTGCTAGCTTTGGATTTGTTCTTCTTTTTCTAGTTCCTTAAGTTGTAGAGTTAGGTTGCTGATTTCAAATCTCTCAATTTTTTTAATGTAAGCATTTTTAGCTATACATTTCTCCCTTGGCACTGCTTTTGCTGTATGCCATAAGTTTTGGTATGTTATGTTTTCATTTTCATTTATCTCAAAGTATTTTCTAATTTCCCCTGTGATTTCTTCTTTTTTTTTCAACTCAGTGGTTGTTTAAAAGCATGTTGTTTAATTTTCACAATTCTGTGAATTTTCCAGTTTTCTGTTTGATATTTGTTTCTGACTTCCTCCATTGTGCTTATAAAAGATATGTTGTACAATAACTGTCTTTTTAAATCTGTGAATTAATTTATATTAATTTGTTGCGTACATAATTATGTTATTTATCATATAATTAATTGTATTATTAATAACATTAATTTGTTTTATTCATTTTTGGCCTATCATATATGGTCTATCTTGGAAAATGTCCCATGTGCACTTGAGATGACTGTATATTCTGCTGTTGGGTAGACTGCTCTGTATATGTCTGTGACATCTAGTTGGTTTATTGTGTTGTTCAAGTTCTCTATTTCCTTTCTTATCTTCTGTGTAGTTGTTCTATTCATTATTGTGAATGGGGTATTGAAGTCTCCAACTATTATCATAGAAATGCCTATTACATAGAAATGTGTATTTTCCCCTTCAGTTCTGTCAGTTTTTGCTTCATATTTTTTGATAGGCTGTTGTTAGGTTCAGAACTGTTTATAATTGTTATATCTTCTTGCAGTATTGAACACTTGTTAATATATAATGTCCTTCTTTGTCTCTTGTAACCTTTTTTGTTTGAAGTCTATTTTGTCTGATATTAGTATAGCCACCTCTGCTTTCTCGTGGTTACTATTTCTGTGGAATAACTGTTTCCATCCTTTCACTTACAACATATTTACATCTTTGGATCTCAAGTGATCTCTTGTTGACTGCGTATAGTTGCGTCATGTGCTTTTATCCATTCTGCCAAGCTCTGTCTTTGATTGGAGAGTTTAATCCATTTACATTTAATGTAATTACTGAAAGGAGGGACTTACTTCTGTCATTGTGCTGTTTCATTTCAATATGCCTTCTGGCTTTTTTTGTTCCTCATTTCCTGTAATACTGTTTTCTTTTGTGTTTAGTTGATAATTTTTTTTGTGTGTGAGGAAGATCAGCCCTGAGCTAACATCCATGCTAATCCTCCTCTCTTTGCTGAGGAAGACTGGCTCTGAGCTAACATCTATTGCCAATCCTCCTCCTTTTTTTCCCCAAAGTCCCAGTAGATAGTTGCATGTCATAGCTGCACGTCCTTCTAGTTGCTGTATGGGGGACGTGGACCGAGCATGGCCGGAGAAGCAGTGCGTCGGTGCTCGCCTGGGATCCGACCCCGGGCTGCCAGTAGCAGAGCACACAGACTTAACCGCTAAGCCATGGGGCCGGCCGTGTTTAGTTGATTTTTGTAGTGAAATGGTTAAATTCTTTGCTGATCTCTTTTTGTGTATATTCTTTGTCTATTTTCTTTGTGGTTACCAGGAGGATTCCATTTAACATCCTGTAGTTATAACACTCCAATTTGAATTTATACCAACGTAACTTCAATAAATTATAAAAACTGCTCTTCAACTGATCCATCCCCACCCCTTTTGGATTTTCATGTCATACTAGCCTCTACCCATATAATTTTAATACTAGATTCTACACTAATAATTACCTTATTTACTTTAGAAAGATTAGGCTCTTAAATCAGATAGAAAACAAAAATTGCAGTTACCGACCATTGTCACAGTAATACTAGCTCATAATTGCCCATCTATTTACCATTAGGGAGAGCTTTATTTATCCAAATGGCTTTGAGTTACTGTAGAGTCCTTTCATTTCACCTTGCAGGACTCCCTTGAGCATTTCTTGCAGGGGAGGTCTAGTGGTCACGCTCCATGTGCTTTTGTTTATCTGGGAATGCCTGAGTTTCTCCTTCACTTTTGAGACACAGTTTTGCTGGATAGAGGATTTTTGGGTGACACTTTCTTTTTAGCACTTTGAGTCTATTGGCCAACTGTCTTACGGCTTCTGAGTTTCTCATGAGAAGTGTTCTGATAATCTTGTTCAAAATCCCTTGGACATGAGAATTCAGTTTTCTCTTGCAGCTTTCAAGATTCTCTCTTTGTCTTTGGCTTCTAAAAGTCTGGTTATTATGTGCCCTAGTGTGGGTGTCTTTGAGTTCATCTTACTTTGAGTTTGTTGAGCCTTTTGGATATTTATATTCATGTGTTTCATCAAACTTGGGAAGTTTTCAGCCATTATTTCTTCAGCTATTCTCTTTGCCCCTTTCTTTCTATTTTCTTCTTCGAGTCCCACAGTGTTGATGTTGATCTACTTGTTGGTGTCCTGCGCATCACTTAGGCTCCCTTCACTTTTCTTCAATCTTCTTTCTGTTCCTCAGGCTCAGTAATTTCCGTTCTCCTATCTTCAGGTTCAATGATTCTTCCTTCTGCCTGCTCAAATCTGCATTTAATTCCTGTAGTGAATTTTTCATTGCAGTAATTGTACTTTCCAACTCCAGAATTTACTTTTGGTTTCCTTTATGTTTTCTATCTCCTAATTGATATTTCCATTGTGTTCCCACATTGTTTTCTTGACTTTCTGCAGTTCTTCTGTTGTTTCTTTGAGCATCTTTAAGATAGTGTTTTCTCTCTTCTTTCAAATTTTATTGAGGCCCCAGGTCCTTGGGGCTCACACAGGAGGCCACCCTGCAGGCTAAGGAGGAGCCAGTGGAGAGCCCGTATTTGACCTTCTTTCTGTGGCACAGGTTGTTGGCGTGTCCATACTTCTTGCGACAGTTGACAGCTCAGGGGTATAGGCGAGCGTAATACTTGCAGATCATCCTGTAGCAGTAGTATTTCTGGGTGAGCTGGCACCAAGTACGCAGTGCACTCTTTCTGAATATTGTACCCTAAGAGAGTGCGACTATTCTCCAGCTGCTGCCTGCAAAATTCAGACACTGTTGGGGGGTAGGAAGCCCTTATTGTCTTGGATTTTGGTTTTGACATTCTCAGTAGTGTAACTGGAGTCGACCTCAAGAGAGATGGTCTTGCCCATCAGGGTCTTCATAAAGATCTGCATCTCTGTGTCTGCCACTCAGCCTCTCACCGTAGGAAAAGATAGTGGCAGTAGTGGAAACCACTGATTTGCCGCCAAGAGCACCTGTGTAAGACAGTTATTTTAAAGTCTTTGTTTAGTAAATCTACCATGAGGTCTTTTTCAGGAGCCATTTCTGTTGATTTATTTTTCCTTTCAGTGGGCCATACTTACTGTTCCTTTGTATACCTTTTGATTTTTCATTGAACTGGACATTTGAATCCAATAATGCGGTACTCTAGAGAGATTATCCCCCTTTCCTAAGGCTTGATGTTTTATTGTTTTTTGGTTTTATTTTTGTATTGTTGTAGAGTGTCTCTGTGCTGAGGATCAGCCTGACATATAAACTGAAGGTCTTCTCAGGTCTTTTCTGAGCCTTTCCCTGGACCTGTATAGTCACTGTCTAATTTTCCCCTCATATGCATTTGCTTTTCA